TTTCCTGTGTTTATCACATCTTCTCTCATTTCTCTACTAATACATTGGATTTCTGGGATCTGTTCAAAGGTGTGTACACTTTTTATGCTGCTCCAGACCAGTTTCTAGGAGGCTGAGTCAGACATGCTTCCGTCCTCCACATATCCCACCCACAGCACTCTGCTCCTCAGTTAAGGTAAAAAAAACCATTACAGTGGTCACACAAAACTCATAGGCTAGATTACTGATTATGGGGTTTATTTAGGACTTTAGCAGGTCACAAATGCTCAGCATTCAATTATTCTAACAAATAGTCTTTCTCAGCCATGCCTGCAGGCAGGGCTCTCTCTGGGTTCACAGCCCACTGGCATCTGCTCTGCTCAAGCAGTCTTACAAAGTTCTTTTAGCGTTTCCAACGATGCCCAAAGGGCATGCCTCTTCACCAAGTGACTCAGCCCAAGGTGCTTAGCTCCAAATCCCAGGGTCAGTAAACCTAGCTCCCCCAATTAAGTATCTGTAGGCACCCTGCTCCACAAACCAGCTTCATCGCTGAAGACACTTGGCTTTGTTTATTCTGTGGGATTGGACATCCTCCACTCTGGCCCATCATTATTTTCTAAGCATAGTAAATGCTTAGAAAGTCTATCTATTTGAGCCTTTGACAATAACTCCTCATTTTTCCATCCCTCCCCTCCCACCCTCTTGATCCCTTGATAAATTATAAATTATTATTATTTTCATATCTTACACCAACTGCTGTCTCCCTTCACCCACATTTCTATTGTTCATCCCCCTCGGTGTTGGTGGGGGTTGGGGGATGTTCTGCAGTGATCATTGTGATCAGTTCCCCCTTCTATCCCTTGTCCCCCAACCTACTCCCTACCTTCCTGGTAATGCTATCCCCATTTCTGTTCCTGAGGGGTTTATCTGACCTGGATTCTGTGTGTTGAGCTCTTATCTGTACCAGTGTATGTGCTCCAGGGCTGAAAGGTAGAACTGGGGTCATGATATTGGGTGGTGGTGGTGGGCGAGGAAGCCTCAAAGAACCAGAGCAATATTGTGTGTTTCATCAGAGCTATTCTGTGTCCTGGTTAACTCATCCCTTCCTTGTGACCCTTTTGTGAGGGGATGTCCCATTTTCTATAGATGGGGTTTGGGTCCCTGCTCCAGCCCCACTCATTCTCAACAATATGGTTTTGGGTTGGTTGTTTGGTTGTTTGGCTGTTTGGTTCGTTGGTTGGTTAGTTGGTTGGTTGTTTGGTTGGTTATTTGGTTTCTTTATAACATCACTTTGCCCTCTTCCTCCCTGTGTTTCTGGTTTTTGGTTTCTCTTTCTGTCCTAATTCTACTGAACTTTGGTGGTGGGTAAATGTTGCCCCTTTTCTCTTCCATGGTTGACTATTCTAAGGAGTGCATACCTCCTGCAGTGACACATAATATGGCTCTTTTGTCGATTGTGTTCACAATTTCTGCAAAATGACTTGATGCTACCATTCAAATAAAGTTAAAGGACTCTAATTCAATGATTGATCAGTTTTACTACTATAGTGGTTATAAAGTGAGCCATTTTAAAAGGAGAAAAAGAATCCTATAACCAACAAAAGAAGGAGCCAAACTCATCCAGGATTTCTGTGCAGAGAAGCAGGAGCTGGGACCGTGAAGAAAGAGTCATGGTGGCAGATCCTGGTCCACAGAATAAATAAAGCTGAGAGCCTCAGGGCAGGAGTCTGGCTTCCAGACAGAGTGGGCAGTTGTCAACATTAAGGAGATTTGAAACAATTTCCTGACCAGGGCAGAGGCAAAAGGACCCAGGCCTAAGAGGTGAAAAACCAGACAGCGAGTACTTTTCAATTTAGCGGTAAGGATGTAGCCTTAAAGTTTTCTGATCCTGAGCAGTCGTAACCAGGTAACTTCCCTAACAAACTCCCATAATCCCAATTGTGGTCCGAGCAACAGATTAACAAACCCAGTGGAGAAGTAGAATGCCACGGGAGCGATGACTGGTGTCAGAACAGGAAACAGAAGGATGGAGGTGGAGGCATGTCTAACCTCTGCCTCATAGAAAGTATCCTAGGACAGATAGGGAACTGGATTCTCACTCTCCTTTCTGAAGCTAGGGAAGGTCAGACATGGTTTCCACATCATTTCTTCACCTTGCTAATGTTATTGTTCCTTCTATAGGCCTGACTATTGTTTGGCTGAAAATTGATGCAAGGGGATGATGTTAGTTGCAGACCTGAAGGGACAATAAAGGCCATGGTCTCGGGAGTTCCACCAGTCTCTGTCCAACCAGTAAACCTCGTCATTATTTATTATTAGACCCCCATCTCCCCAACCCCAGACATTATTAATCCAGTTACTGTCTCTATGGAGTTACCTATCCTGGAGGTCATATAAAGAAAAGCATAGGACAACAAAAAGCAACCAATCTTCAATCAATCAATCAGTAATAATAACAACAAAATAAAACACAGAAAAACTCAGTTGAAGCGTATATATCTAGCTTTCTGAGAAGTTTCCAATTGTTTCCAAGAAACAGTTTTACATAAACTTATGTACACAATATCAGTAGAAAAGGACTCCAATTTCCCCACGTATTTGCCAACACACGTTATTGTGATTTTCATTAGTAGGTATGAAGTGATAGCTGATAGTAGTTTTTTTTTTCCACATAGCATACAATGTAATCATTCGGTCATAGTAAGAAGAGTTGTACAGGCATCACCACAATCAATTTCAGAACATTTTCTTCCCAGACGAATTGTTGTTAGCTCCCCATTTCCTTCCGTCTTACGCTGCATTGTCCCTACCAGTTAGTGCTTTTATAAGACCTACCTATATGGGATTTCTTACACAGAGAAATCATACAAACCACAATCATACAAAATCCTACAAAGCAAACAAACAAAAATGACTAGATAAAGCATATATATGAAAATCTCCATCAAAGAGAAGGCAAAAAATATTGAAGAGGAAAGATATTAAAAAGTGAAGTGTGTTAGACAGGGTTCTCTAGAGAAACAAAACCAGAATGCTAATAATTTTATGTATGTTTATACAGATAGATGTATAACATAAGAAACAAACAGTTAATTAAATCATAAAGCAGTACTAATGGCTCAGTGCAACTTACTCCCATGAGACAATTGTGAGACACTGGCAGTCCTTCAAGTCTTGAGGGCCATCGTTAGTCCTTTGTAGAGCAATTCAGGCTATCCGGGCACAGGCAGCAAACAGCAAGGAGGTCACCAACAGTCAGCCAGATGACAGGGTCCGACAGTCCCCAGCTCAAGAGATGTAAATTCCAATGGTGTGGCAAAGCAGGTCTTGAAGGAACCTCAAATTACAGTGACACAGTCCATGGGGTAGGTGTCCCACAGGTAGTGTAGCTTGCAAATTGAGGCAAAGAAGAAGCAAGGCAGCCGTACACTGGTCCGATGATGAAAGAGTAAGAGGCAAGAAAGGTGAGGCTTGCCGAGCCATTTATCTCTCTGCCCTTCAATTAATCCCATCTGTGTTTATCAGCCAGCTTGGCACAATAAACTACCTACCTCGTGAAGCAACATTAAAATGGGTCAAAAGGAGATCAAATGATAAGGTATTGCATTTAGCTGGTTATTCACATCCCTCAATTATGGTCTGAGGGAATTCACTGGATACTTAAATTATGTGGGGACCCTGCAACTGGAGTTTGGGTTTCCCTGTCATCCATAGCTTTCTGCAAACCAAGTGTTACAATTTAAACTCTGATACCATTCCCTCCTCAAATTTGAATTGTATTATTTACAATCCTTGAATCACACAGGCTTCCATGTGGGTTTAGTTGATCCTCATTTAGATGGCTGCTTCTTGGAAGACAATACTTCAAGACCCCAAACACTATTCTTTCTGGCAGGCCAACACCATCTTATTTCTTCACCACACTTTGCTATACACCCCTATCTTTAGTGATCTCTGCATGAAGGCGAACCTCGAGCTGTGCCATGTCCTAAGAACATAATTGTTGTTATATCTGGGCTGTAATTGTGAGCCCCAAATCCATTTATATATCTAAGGTTTATATATGTCTCTGGTTCATCTTAGAGACTCTGTTATCACTTCATGATAGAGAACATTATCAATAATTCATAAAGGAAGAATCAGGCTTACAAGAGTAATGCATGGCATAAGAAAGCAAATAGGCATTAAGCTCCAGGCCACCATTCACTGTTGTTGATGCTGCTGTTGTTAGTTGCCATCGAGTAGATTCCAACCCAAGGCAACTATATGCACAACAGAACAAAATAATGCCTGGTCCTGCACCATTCTCACATTTTTTCTTATACTTGAGCCCATTGTTGGCAGCCACTGTGTCAATCCATCTCCTTCAGAACCTTTCTTTTGTTGCTCCTCTACTTTAGAAAACACAATGTCCTTCTCCAGGGCCTGGTCTCTTCTGACAACATGTCCAAAGTATGTAAGATCAACACTTGCCATCCTTGATTCTAAGGGGCAATGACTTCCATGGGAGCAATGGATGTTTTGCTCCAGTCCCTCCCTGGTCTGACTTTAGCTGATGATATTGAACTTCTCTATCATCTCTTCCCACAGTTGTAGTCAACTTGATTTCTTTGTGTTCCCAGGAGAGGTCCATGTGGATATTTCAGTTTCTGTGGTTGAAATAGGTCTTTGCTATGAACAAGTCATTGGTGTTGTAAAATTCTATCACACAATCTCCAGTTTAATTTCTATCACCAAGACCATGTTTTCCAACTACTGATTCCTTCCTCTTTGTTTCCAACTTTGATCAATTTCAGACTGAAGACATTGAGAATGACTCAATTTCTTTAACACTAGTTTTTTGGGTTGGTGCATAAATTTGAATAATGGTTGATTAATTGGATTTCCTTGAAGGCAGATAAATATAATCCTACCACAGCCAGTATTGCACTTCAGTTGGTCAGGTGAGTATGCTTGAAAGAAAAGATAGCTTTTCACATGGCTGTGTAATGTCTCCACTGACGCGAGTCTTCTCTCCTCAGAGAGCAGACAGCTCCGCCTGGTCAATGGGGACAGTCGCTGTGCAGGGAGAGTCGAGATCTATCACCAGAATGAATGGGGCACCATTTGTAGTGACCGCTGGGACATGAAGGATGCCCAGGTGGTGTGCAGACAGCTCGACTGTGGACAAGCCCTCGCAGTCATGCCATGGGCTCAGTTTGGTGCGGGATCAGGCCCTATCTGGCTGGACGACCTGGGATGCACAGGAACGGAGTCTCATGTGTGGGAATGTCCATCCCCTGGCTGGGGGCAGCACGACTGCTATCACTACCATGACGCAGGAGTCATCTGCTCAGGTATGGTTATTGTCTTGTCCACTGGCTGGGAGATTGAAAGCTCCAGAGCAACACATGTCTGGACTATTTGGGTGATTGATTAGCCACAGTGTCTGAAACTTAAGCTCATGGCCTTTGATGGCTCAAAGCATCTGTGAAGGACAAAGTCCATTACTCCCCACTGAGTGTCAAGCTGCTTGTTTTCCTTCTCCAGTGGCCTTAACTAACAAAACAATATGCTCTAGTATCATCCTAAACACAGTCATTTCATAACTTTGTATTTATAATTCCCTTCCTGTAAGTGTTAGCCTTTGCAAACCACCACACTCACTCCCTTTGTGACAAGGAGCCTGTAGGAGGGAAGGAGTGGAAGAAACAGTGCTTTCCCCTCACATCTAGGAAACGCTTGAATTGAGTGTTTTGTGTGGATAGAGTGAGGACACTGCTTTGCACAGACTTGGTCATACTAGAAGTATAGAGTATTCCATTAAATAAATCAGACAAGAACCAGACCTAAATGGTCATACATTGTTGCCCATGAGGACCAGAAAATTCTCACTGAAATTCTCTGATACATAGGGTCTCTACCCTACGTAGAGTTTCTAAGATGTAAATATTTACATGAGCAGAGAGTCTCATATTTCATCCACAATATCAATATAGAAACATACATATTCCTTTTTTACTTGCAAAATACCCATATAATACCCATCATTTATTTTCAACTTTCCATTATTTTACATACTAAAAGTTGAATATTACACAAGCAATATACACAAGCAACAAATTGTGTTGCTTTATCTGGATTCACTTTTACTTTGATCTTCTAATACATTTACTTTAGATGCAGTTGGTAAGAAAATAGCTACCACTTAATTTTAAATGAGTCACCTGATTCTTATTCCCTTTTTAGGAGGTAGAATTGGGGCAGCTTCTCATGATTACTTATTTTTTCTATACTGTTTTTTTTCTCAAATAACACATTCACATAAATAGCACATCCAAACATATAAAGCCCATAGAAGACTTCTTTGCATAGAAAAAGAGGTACAGAATTTGAGTGATTGGCAAAAACAAA